ATTTAAACTTATACGCTTCGTGAGGATGTTGTTCTTTTTGCTCCTCAAAAATTATTTTAAACGTGATGATTTCAGTCATACGGTATTTCCTTCGTGCTGTCGCATGATGCATGTTCTTAAGGACAGCATGCCACCACTTAAGGGCCAGAATTTCGTTTTTGAATGTGGGTTATGACTGTAGCTATTGTGACGCATCCGCCTCCTTCGAGGTAGGCGGGCTGACGAGGTCCCCTTCTGTAGAAGCGTCATGAAAATACGCCTTCGCTTTCTTAAGCCAGTAAATTAGTTGTGCTCGTGTACATCGCAGTGCATTGGGAAGACCTCCCATGATTTGTAAATGCCCTGCATTTCTTTACTCTTTGTCAAAGTAGTCATCGGGTAACGCAGCCAATTTTAGAAGGCTTCGACTTATAGTTGGGTAAAAAGCTGCGCCAAATAGCCGAAAGGATCAGTGTTAGGAAAAACGCGTGCACTTCTTAAGAATTTATCATAACACCTGTGGTTCATATTTGAAGCGTTCCGGTAGTGTGAAAGTTATCGGGGGTAATTTGCCAAAAGCTTAAGCACTAGTGTTTCCTTACGCCGTATTATTATGGTCTTTCTCGGTCACCGTGGGCGGTGCTCAGCTTAGGGCCGTATAGCATTCACCCACGACCATGTGCGGAGAGACGTGAGTTCGAGCCCCCGTGCCGGCCTAGAGCTTCATCGTTCCCACGACAAACAATTGGTGTTAGAGCTTGTGACGCAGTGTGATGCATGCTTTAATGCATCGGTAAATCGCAGCCATTATCAGTATAATGTACAAAGCTTTTAGATTGTACTAAATTCCACACAGTGACACTGATCAGGCTACTTTCAGGAACTATAGGTCAGAATGTCATCATGCTTACAATTAGCGTGTCATTTTTATGTCATTAGTAAATGAACTTTGGCTGGCCAGCAAGCCAAAGTCGCGTCTTCCTCATGGTCTGACAGGGGAACAAGATGCAAACAGGTGGAATGCTATACTCAGTCACATGACGGAGATCGACGCAGTCGTGTTGAAGAAGATTCGCGGAAGACGGGACGAACTGCAAGGGTAGCAGGCAAACGGCGAGCAATGCCACATCCATTCAGATCAAATCCTAAGAGGCGACTACCCAGGGAGCACACGCACCATGTTCAACCAAACGTAAGGCCGACACGGAGTGCATAATGGGCGGCAGACGCGGTGGACGGAACGACGGCGGCTCGCAGATGGGCAGGGAGAAGGTGCGAATGTGTCGCGACAAGTGACACATCGAGGAGAGTGGAAATAGGTGGCCAAAAACTCGGTCTCAAGTTTTTGGGTAATATCTAGCATTTGGTTCAGCGCAACAGGCGATATGTGAGCGCATGGCTAGCCCGGACAATTGTCTTTCTCTTACAAGATATTGAGGGGATGGGATGTGACATTTCTGGGGGCTATTATGCCTTAAGGAAATGCTGAAAATGGGATAATCTACAGCGTGTTTCATAACTTTTTTCCCCCCTGTCAGCTACACATTTGATGCTGTAGCTTAAACATTTGTCACCTTCAGGTAACGAAGGTAACCAAACAAAACATGCATTTTCTTTGACTTTTCGCTTGACATGTGCGAAATGGTAAACAATTAAAAATGCAGGTTTCATTAGGCCACAGATTTCAGACATGGCCGAGCAGCAGACATCGGTGTCGGTGTCATTAAAAATACTCCCGGGAAGGTGCTCGAGCGATGTCCATGACAACGGCCCATAGTGGCGTCAATCAGGAACCTGTCGCCGAGGCGCTGGGGCGGTCATGCCTTAGATTGAACACAAAATGGATAATACTTTTACATGAAGAGTCTCTCAATGACAAGCGGCCAGGTTGACACTTGCAGGCTAGCTGAGTAGTGAAAATTAGCTATGTGGAAGCTGCCCGGAAGAGGGACCGGTGCGTGCGAAACTATCAGCCAAACTGACACGCAAGGGCCACGCGATGTCCGTTACCACTGTTTACCAGTAAATGAATCGTTCGAGCATGCAAACCTCGCGACACTCAAAAGGGCCAAACAGGCAAAGCTGAGTGAAAACAGTGGTAGTGGAGGGTGGAACTGGGCAAAATACAACGTAATGAGAGAATAATTGGAGCGAGAACGACCTCAAAGAATTAATATGTAGCGAAAACATGTTTTCGAGCTCACACCCACTCAGCCCTCAAACCCTACCAAAGCGACCGTGTCTGAGTGAAACACGGCGGGAACGCTACGTTGCCGCCGTGAAAAGATATCTCAGAAGGCGATGGGATGGGGCGGCAGTGACTGCCATGGGACTTGAAAACCATGCAGAGGTGCCGCAAAAACAGGCTGACAACCCGGACATCTATGCCAAGGATGTTCTTGATAAGTCTCACTAAAACTTTAAACGTAAGGCGGACACGAACCCTGCAAAACACTGAAAGGTGGTTCCCGACACGTCGCCCGACGTATTCCTGCCAGACGGCGCGCTGGCTCACACAGCATAGAGAGCCCAAGAGCGGCGCCAAACTACCATTTTTTTTGGCTCTGGGACAAGAAGACATTACTATGAACTTCCTTGACCTGAACCGCATCGAAAATCTGTTGGATGCCCTGAAGGTATGCGTCAGCGAGGTGTACCCCTGCAAGTGATAACATGGACTTCCAGGCTGGAATAAAAAAGAACATGAAGTGTTTTACAAATGGTGGGAGGGTGAGGAAGAACTTACGAAACATCCTGTAAGACAAAGGTGGGAGACATGGGACAGCAGGATGGTAGAAACTGGACAGTCAAGGAAGATGTAGGAAGATGCTAGACGATACCATTAGCCGCTGGACCTGGGCGATAGCCCAGGTATCACCCGATATCTCGACTTAACCTGGGCCCAGCCAAGCCTACACCGAACCGGGCAGCCGCTTCCCCTGTAGCAGCCAGTATTATATTATTATCAGGTCGGGTGGTACCTGGTCCGAACCGGATTGAATCGTTCAGATATCTCGCTGAGGCAGCCCCTTGGTTTCGCCAGATCGCCAACTGAAAATGATACTAGCTAACCAGTGCCAATCCAAGCCAATGCATGATTGCATTCCGTGTGGTGAGGTAGGCAGCCTTTCGCTGTTTCTTCATGTGCATGCCGAAGGCAGTGTCGGATCGTTGTCTGTCTCGCTTGCTCAATGGCTCCCACCGATCACGCTCACTGGCAATGTCTGCCGATTCGATGACACGACAAGTGCAATGTCTTAAGAACGTATTTTTGCGTTGAGCTAACAAGCAGAAAGACACAAGACACACAAAACACATTTCTTCGAAGAACTCGACCAGATGCGTTCTCAGCTTCTTGATGTTTCTTCCTCAGGCTCTTCAACTTGCAGGACGAGATTAACCACGAAAGCCCGGGCGCCGTCACACTAACGGCACATGCCTGGATGGCCGTTTCCTGTTCGGGCGCCGCATCCGTGATGCCACGCGGCACATCACGCCACAGCTGTCCCACTGCACCCACCGTTCAGCTGATTTCCCGTACAGCGTGCCACACACGTGACATTTTATAGACTTGGGAATCGTGTCAAACTGTAGTTCAACAAGGTTCTGGATTACTTTCCCTGTCTTTCCGTTCGCTTGCTTTGTTGCAGCAATTCTTCGCTTGCTTTTTTGACTTCACTTAATCCTCACTGCCTGCCCATTCTCTGCTTTATTATTTGCTTGGTGTGCCTTTGCGCTGCAGTTTCCTCTCCTTCCTTGTCCTCCTTTTCTTCCTTAACTCTGTCCCCAAGGCATCATTGGGTAGCCGACCACCTGTTCTGGAGACGTTTGGAATCATCTCGGGCGGGCCGCGCCAGGAGCGCCAGACCTCGCTGCTCGGTCAGCAGCGCCCTCGCCGGTGTCGTCCTCGCAGGAAGCTGCGAGGAGTCGTCCTCGAGGAAAGCTGCGGGTCTCTCCGTGACAGCCATGCTCTTCACTGCCTTCAGCGGGCCCGGCAGCGTCCTCATCACCACCAGCGATAGGAGGCCCCTCCGGTGCGGCCACTTCGGCGGCCGTGATGGTCGCCGCCGAAGAGTTTGTGGCGAGGAGGCCATACGGAAGCCGCCTTGAATCCCATCCTGATGCTGGTGGACGTGGCCAGTTCGTTCACGCCTTTCCTGGCAGCCGTCACGCGTCGTGAATGGTGATTGCCGGTCGGCTCATCCCGGTACTTCAATTTGCGGGATGTGCGCTCCGATCTCGGCACGGTGTTCAGCAGCTCGAACACACTGTGATTCAGCAGCAGGCCTCGCTGTCTGGTGTGCGATGGTTAATGAACCGGACGTATCGGTGACCACTGCACTGACTGGGAGCCCGTTCCATTGTGTCGCGCAAGTCGCTGCACAACATCCGCGTAGTAAATTGCGGTCTTGTGGTTTTACTCATATCTTACAATTATAAAAGATAGTTATTACACCTAATAATATATAATTATATTACATATCATTATTGTATATTAAAATGTTGATATATTTATAATTCACCGTTGTACAACATGCCAAAATAGATATATACGTTATCGGAGCTGACTGCCATTGTACTTAAGCAAGGCAACGCGACGCATTAATACGCATGAGTTTAAAAGCAGCAAGAAACTAAAAGAGAACAGCTCACGGCCACCCACTCCACTCAAACTTCGGTCAACGCAACATCATGCCTTATTTCTACTCAGATACCTATGGCATGCTGCAGAGCAGTTGTTTCCCAGATATGTCTTTATACAAAGGATTAGGGTTGCGCATTTATGCGTAAAAAAATCCGAGAAGTGGAAAATAAGACCGCGGGTGGTGTCTAAAGATACAAGCATGCGTAATCGGCTGCAGGCGTACGCGCCCTTGTAAACTGAAATCAATCTGAAAATACTGATAACGGGTGAAACGATGTTCCCAACCATAATGTCACTTCTCCGGCGGATATGTCAAATTCAGGGTACTGGTAAGCCACGCTCGACACTGAAACTTTTTCCCACTGAACCACGCGCAATGGCTTCAGAGCCCCATCCAGCTGTCCGCAACGCCCTAGACAAACTCGGGTTCGGCCGCCGCGCTCCGGCCAAGTTCGGGTTCAGCCGCCGCGCTCCGGACAAATTCGGGTTCAGTCGCCACGCTCCGGCCAAGCTCTGGTTCAGTCGCCACGCTCCGGCTAAGCTCGAGTTTAATCGCCATGCTCCGAACAAGCTCGGGCTCAGTCACCACTCTTCGTCCAAGCTCTGGTTCAGTCGCTATGCTCCGGACAAGCTCGGGTTCAGCCGCCGCGCTCCGGCCAAGTTCGGGTTCAGCCGCCGCGCTCCGCACAAGTTCGGGTTCAGCCGCCGCGCTCCGGACAAGTTCGGGTTGAGCCGCCGCACCCCGCACAAGCTCGGGTTCAATCGCCATGCTCCGGACAAGCTCGGGTTCAGCCACCGCGCTCCGGACAAGCTCGGGCTCAGACCGCAGAGTCCGTCACCATTCCGAAACGGCCCCAACTCGCATATTCTGTGAAAAGTACGTGACGGTGCTACATCTTATCACTAGCAGCTTACATTGACACAAGATTCTGGTAGACACAGAAAACTGTTCCTCAAACCCATAGCACGTCAGGATCACAAAGGCTGGGATGATGAATGCTTCATTGGTTGCTGTTTTGGGTTGATTGACGAAGAATTACAACAGTATACAAATGACACTCTGCTTCATGGGGCATGAATTCCTTTACAAGTAATTATTTTCAAACAAATGCAAACCGTGCCGAAATCATTTTATTGTAGCAGACACCTTTTGTGGGATGGAACGAACGAGATTAAGCATTATCACCATGCAGATGATATATCACCGGTAATTTGGTTGGGTGAATGAAACGAGGTGCTTTTCAAAACAGAAACGAATAAGTCTTAAAGGGAATATGCCACCTTTTTGTGCTTTCCACGTATTGTTAATCCAGACACGTCCAATTTGATTCATGAAAGCGCCGGTAAATCCAAATATCTAATGTGATCGATAATGCCGTTTTTTTCTAAACCCTTCTCAATGGCTTAGCAATCGATTTGAAGTAGCTGATCTGGTGAAAGTAATGCCATTAGATTCCTTGTTCACCGCTATTAAATTAATACCGTTCATTGACTGCTTTTCCGACGTGGGTAATCTGCTATCGTTGCAATACATTAATTCGTCAAAATTCCTGTGTAAAAAATGACACAAAAACCTGACACCTTCTATTCACGGAAAATGTATGCCAACATGAGGCTATCATGATGCGAATTCAACGAATGGTTGTACTGTGGCTTTCATTTCTCTCCTATGGCGTTTAGCATAGCGGCTATTTTGGGACCTGGCTTTGGGAAACAGAGAATTGCATGGTCTATGGTGACGCACTGGTTAAGATCATGACCAATGTAATTGGTAAATGAGCCTACGCCGGCCGCTGTGTCAATCGCAAATGTTTACTGATGTCATTCATACCGGTAAATGTGTCACTTACAAGCCCTCAGGTAATTTCACTACTCCATGTATTAGTAATTCACGAATTACTCATTCATTAGATAATTTGAAAACCACAAAACAAGTTCACTAATTCATTCCGAAACGAATCAATAACTTTCACAACCTGGTAAATATTGTTCTTGTTACGTTATCGTTTGATTGCGTCATAGAACGTTTTTATGACGTCAGAGTCGCTGCGAGTTGCCATGTCATAGTAACGTTGCAGTGGATGGGCTGACTCACTTGCGGTACTTCAACGTGACGCAAGGTAGCATTATTGATTTGCATGTGTACGTTTAAAAAAAAACGGGCAGTTGTGCGTTTGCCACGATCCTTTCTTGTAGCATTCTTGCATATTTCCTCCGTGATCTTTTTTAAGAGAACGTGGCACACGTTGTCGCACCTTTTATGGAGCGCCAGCGACTACGTCGGCCATATCAGTGCTCAGAGGCCATGGCGCAATAAGGATTCGAACCCAGGCTCCCCTGTGGGAGTCCGATGCACTAACCACATTGCGACCCCATTTTCCCGCGACATTATCTTCCTTATCTGCATTGGTATTGTTGGTTACGGCGCTACTCTCAAGTTATTCGATTCTTAGCCTCATATCCGTTATATCTAGAAGTCGTCCCATATCTGTGATATTCATGACGAAACATGGTTCATGATCAAGGCATGTAGCAAGACAAGCATGAACAAGACATGATCAAGCAGCGAAATGGCCCATTGCCGTCTGTCGTCGGGATAATTAGAGGTGCATCACCGCCAACGTGAATGGTCAAGTTGGCTATTAAATGCTTAGAAATGAGTGCAACTCAATCAATAGGGTGGGGTACTTACGTGACGGTTCTATGACGTCATGCATGTCTGGGTGATTTTTGCATGGCGCGCATGTCATAGGCTGTACAATGTCACGCGCATGAAGCTCAGAAGCAGCTGGATTTAAAGCCCTAAAAATGACATGACCGTGAACTGCAGGGAACATTTGTGAAAAATGACTACATAATTCAAAGCTTTATGCAAATGTGGAGTAGTGCTTTTAAAAACGGATAACAGGTCAGCGTGGGTATGGCTGCATGGGTGGTAAGTCAACTGAGTGAAAAGGGAATCTTACCCATGAAGACTTCTGCTGTCAGTCTTTCCGTTTCGCTGATAGCTTGCTCTTCTCGCCTTCATGTCCCTGGTCTCACTAATTTCCCACACCACTGACGATCTGCCAGTCTCACTCATGATGTCTTCGGTCCACTTACCGTCTTCCCGTTTCATTGACAATTTCACTGTTTCTGCAAAATCCTCCTCGTCTCGCTGACGGCTTCCCCGTCTCACTGGTGGTCTCTCCGCCTTACTGGCGGCTTCCCGTCTCACTGGTAGTTTCCCCGCCTTACTGACGACTTCCCGTCTCACCGGTTGTCTCCCCGCCTCACTGGCGGCTTCCTGTCTCACTGGTGGTCTTCCCGCCTTACTGGCGGCTTCCCGTCTCACTGGTGGGCTCTTCATCTTACTGGCGGCTTCCCGTCTCACCGGTGGTCTCTTCTCCTCACTGGCGGCATCCCGTCTCACTGGTGGTTTCTCCGCCTTACTGGCGGCTTCCCGTCTCACCGGTGGTCCCTCCTCCTTACCGGCGGCTTCCCGTCTCACTGGTGGTCTCTCCTCCGCGTCCCCCCCCCCCCGTCGTCTCCACCCTCAGCACCTCATCAGCATCCGGTGTCGTCCCGAGTGTATCATGGTCTGGCGGCACCGAACATCGGCCGCTCCGTCTCATGACCTATGGGATGACGCTGCCGGGAGCGCGCTCCCAGCACATCCGTGTGAACAGCGCCGGGCAGCACATCCGTGTGAACAGCGCCGGGCAGCACGCGCGGGCGCGTGTATAAGCGGATCCTGCGGTCTGGCGGAAATTGTGGCACTGGACTATCGCCCGTCCCGATGTCTTAGCTGGTTGGAGCGCCTGCCTCCCAGTTATCCCAACCATGGTGGTGTGGGTTCGAATCGATAAAGGCGCTCGCTGTTCACCCTTGATTAAGATGGCCTGCGGACGGCGACAGCGTCCGCGCTAAAGGCCAGGTGACGTCAGAGGGCAGGACGGACCTTGCCGAACAATAATTCTCCCGATGACACAATATTTCACGACCAAATGGGTGGGTCAGAGCTCTCGCAACAAGGACAGTTTGGCGTGAACGTTGATTTCAGAAATCCATCCCTTAAAAAAGCTGAAAACAAATTTAAAAATAAAGCCCCGCCAACGTGCTTGGCATAGCATATTACTGTCATTTTCATTTCAAACACACTCGTCTCAGCGACCACCCCACACAGGCCGTTGTCAACAATTTCCTCCCATAAGGGTGTTGTCACGCTGCCATTTTAGTAGCCTGCTATCGCGCAGCGTGCGGGGCAGCATCCCATGGAACGGAAAACAGCTGACTCACTGCTGCCGCCTTATCTGCGAACGCGCAGCGGCGCTCATCGACCAGCGACGACCACGGCGGCGGCTGTGAACAGATGTCCGTCTTGCCGGCGCCTCCTCGGGCGCGTGCTGTTTACCACGTGTCGAAACCCGCGAGGGCTCCAAGCGCATAGCCCGTCACCATTACTGCCAGGTGTCGTCCTACCCCGCATGAGCTATACAGAACGGCGTCGTTTGTGGCTGTCCGCGTGAGGTCATCACGTGACGTGGCATGACCGCTCCTGGATTGGTCACCGTACTTCTTTCACCTTAAAGCTGCGATGCCATTGGTATGCACGCTCGGCTGAAATCGCTTAGATGGGTTTAGATAAGTAATTTGGCCCTGCTTATCCATCACGATAAGTTATATTTGGTCAGAGGATGCATTTTAAAATTGTGTGCAAAAACGACACATATTTACCTTATCCTGGACGTTCTTAACTTTATGGATTTGTTTCAATCGGAGGGGTCTGGATCTTCCCTTTCGTAGGGTTGCAGCTAATATCACCGGGAAATAATGCATGGAGCCAGGAAATGATTATTTTCTTAAATTTCTGATGTTTATCTCTCGCAGTAAGGGCCACTCATGATGTACTTGACACGATTCGACTTGCCACTTTATGCACTTTTTGGAAGGGTGTCATTTATACTTGCCTTGCGCAAACGGCTCATCTTTACTTTGAGACGTAAAACCCCAATAACTACTATCATGTCACTAGGAGTGCCATATTCATTGGGAGATTTGAAAAAGTATGCGACATACATAAGTTCGCTCCCATAGCTCAGTTGGTGAGAGCACCTACCTTCAGATTCATCTGCCCGTCTCGGGTTGGGTTGGAATCGCTTCAGGTGATGGCCATTTACCGTTAACTGGGATGGCCCTGTGGTCAGTGGCAGCGGCCCGCGCTAAAGGTCAAGTGACGTCAGAGGGCAAGACCGACCGTGTCGAGCATTGGAGCACGATGAGCTTTCGTCGCAAAATTATGTCGTCTCAGGACTCCCCGATCCGATGTTGAGGTCACGGGTCGCATAACAAGGACTGCTTTTCGTGTTCTCTGGTCCTAGAAATTGATGCAATTAAAATGCTTGGACCAGCTCTTTTAGAAAGTATAAAAGCTACACGTTGTGCTGTCCTTTCCCGTCGTCGACTCCATGTCGACTTCATGTCTACTGCAGATAGAAAGGTTGGCGGGGTCACGGGTCACTAAGGAAATTCGAGGATTTCACGCCATGAAACCGAGAGCTGCGGTACATATGCCTATACCTTGACGCATCAATAACGACATCTTCCAAGACTTTCGGTGCAACCTAGATGGAGAGCAGTTCCGTCAGCTATTGATGGTTACAGAATGTTTCTGGGATTTCTTGCGTACCACGAAACGCTTTCCACACAACGCAACGGTGCAGGGTGTGCGTTTCTATGCTCCGTGGATTCCTTGATTCAGTGTCTGCATAGACAGCTTCAGTGCTGTGTACTATATCTAAACCTCAAGGTATGATCATATATCCCCAATTACGGCTGATATCTCTGTTGGACTAGTTGCGGAAGATCAGGACCAAATATTGCATAGCCTTGCCT